TTCCCTATAGAAAGCAGCACTGACATAATCTTTTAGACAGCCATGTTGATCCCTATTCAAACATACTCATTCCTAGATGAAGAAGCAGAATAACAGCAGGCATGGAAGCCCCATGATGGAGAAAAAAAACCCCAATGTTAACTACTCCCTCCCAACAAGAGCTCAAAGCCTTACCTTTTACTAAAGGAATTCATTCAATATATATTAAGGCAGATTCTACACACAGAACTCTTTTTTTAAAAAGATTTATTTTATTTTCATTACAAAGTCAGATATACAGAGAGGAAGAGAGACAGAGAAGAAGATCTTCTGTCTGATGATTCACTCCCCAAGTGAGTGCAATGGTTGGTGCTGCACCGATCTGAAGCCAGGAGCCAGGAACTTCTTTCTGGGTCTCCCACATGGGGACAGGGTCCAAGGTCTTGGGCTGTTCTCGACTGCTTTCCCAGGCCACAAGCAGGGAGCTGGATGGGAAGTGGAGCTGCTGGAATTAGAACTGGCGCCCATATGGGATCCCGGGCATGTTCAAGGCAAGGACTTTAGCCTCTATGCCACGCCGCCAGGCCCTATATACAGAACTCTAAAGTACAAAAGCTAACATACAAGACACCCTGACCTGATTGGATCACTCATTGAACGTTGTAGCTGTTTGGCTGGTGTATGCCAGGAGCTGCTCCTCATCATAGGAACTGACAGACAGCAGATGTGGGGAACCCTCAGTAACTGCCAGGCATGGAGCTCCCGGGATTAGAACCGGTGCCCATATGGGATCCCAGCGTGTTCAAGGTGAGGGCTTTAGCCACTAGACCACACCGCCAGGCCCGAATTCTTCATTTAATGGAGGGTTAAGCTTGTGATTATAAAGCAAATGGAAAGTCTATCATGGTAAAAATTACAAGAAAAAAGAATAAGGAGGCAAGGTGGGAAGCACCATTAGGTTCTTAAAACATGAAATACATGAAACTTGTTTCCTTTACATGAATAAATTAATGAACTTAAAATGACATTCCTTTGAAAAGAATAAACTAATTAGAGGACTAATCCACAAAACAGAGCAACAGCAAAAGTCCTGGGGAGGGGAGAGACATGGAAGGCCACAAGACAGCCCCCAGAATTGGGGAAGAGGGAAGAGTCCTGGCTGAGGTAGTAGTGGAAACTCCAAGGAAGAGAGAGGATAGGGTAAGTTTGGAAAACTCAACTTGCCATTGATATGACTTTTCATGGTATCAGACGTGGCACAGAAACAAAAGAACAAACTAGAGTAACTCTAAGGTTCTGGTTTGATGGTCTGCTGGACGGCACTCTTCTTAAGATTAGAATCACAAGGTGGAGGAATCCACCATGGGGGGAGGGGTATGGGAGGGGTGGGGGGGATCCCCAGCGCCTATAAAACTGTACTACATAATATAATGTAAGCAACAATAAATAAAAAAAAAAGATTAGAATCACATAATGAACAGTGGGTATAGAGGTGAGTGTTGGTTTTCAACATGTTGAATCTGAGTTTCCTATAGGACATCCAGAAAATGGGTGTCTTAGAGATGAACAGAAACACAGGTAGCTATGGAGGTGCAGGGAGGGTAAGACGCCTCAGCAGTGGCTCACAGAGTACATTAGGACCTGGGCATGCAGCAGGCCGAAAAGATAGCCCCAGGAGAGTCACTATGTCACAGGAATGGCGACAAAGAAGTGTTGCAGAGGTGTGATCAGAAAGGACGAGGAGGTGCCCTAATTCTTCTATTGCTCTTTCAGGAAACTGGAGAGGGGAGGTCACAAAAGAAAAGACAGTGGACTTGGAGGTGGGTGCCGTGCGTGGGGAACCAACTTTCAAGAAGCCAGTCTTGATGGCATGATAGGGAAAGTTGTCTACAAAACAGGAAGATCTTCACTTACTCTGCATCCCTCTCGGGGTGCACTTGCTATGGACCAGGCACCGGATTAAGCCTCTTTTACAAACAGTACCTCGTTTGCTCTTGTGGTGGCTGATTTTATTGTCTTGATATTTGGTCTAGATGCCGCTATGAAGGTACTAGATGAGATTCACTTTTATAACTACAGACTGAGTAAAGCAGACCACTCCTTATAATACAGATGGGCTTTACACAATCAGCTAAAGGCCTCAAGAAAAAGACAGGTCTTTAGAGGGGGAGGAAATACTGCCTATTCATAACCATTGGCCTTGAATTACAGTGTCATTTCTTCTCTGGATTTCTGGGATGCTATCCTCCTGTATACCTGTGATTTGCCAGCCTCTACAACCGGGTGAGCCAATTCCTTAAATCTGTGCAAGCCTTAACAACTTGCAGCAAAGAGAGGTATATACTTCCTATTGGTTCTGCTTCTCTGTAAAATGCCAATACTCTGTTCAAAATAGTGGCAAGTACATGTTACAGTGGAGGAAACTGCAGCACAGTGGGGTTGAAAACTTGGCCAGGATCATCCAACCAGTGGGTGACAGAGCTGGAATTCCAATTTTCTCTGCCCCTAGCATATGCTGTGTGCCCCCCCCCCCCACACCAGAGCATCAACCTGAATGGGTTGGGGACCCCATAGGAGGGCTAAAAGATAAAGGCAAGAGAGTTTCCAATAGTGTATGGATGGGAAAACATAATGTGTGATTTGCCCACAGTGGGACCTAATGTTCTATAAGTAGCAGGAGCCAGGATTTTAGGAAACAAAATGCAAGCCCTTTCCATTCTCTTTCCTACCTTCATTATCCACGTTCCTTCCACCTGTCACTCATGTTCAGAGTTTCTCAGTCACATATTCCCTCTAAGATTATGAAGAACAGAGAACACACACCAGCAATACACTGCCCTTACTCAGCAGGACATGCAGACGGAGCATCACGGCCCACCTAACGATGCTACATTTAACTGAGCAATGTTGCTGCAATCCACATGAGAAGTATAGAGTCTGAAATCAACCAACTGGGAACAAATAACAAAACAAGGCATCCCCAACAGCCCACGGGCATTTACTTTCAAATATAATCCCTAGAATTATATTTTGACCAACTCAAGAAATTAGGTAACTATGAAAAGATACTTGATATAAAATTTAAAAACAGAAATTCTCATTTATCTTAATGAATCATCTAAAAGTTTTGAATTCTGAATTGGATTATTTGAAAACTGGTATTTCTCAGATTGACATTTATGGAACAGAAAACCAAGGCACGTGGGAACACCTCTTGGATTTAACCATGGCTGTATATAAAGATTTAGCTACAAAGATTTTTTTCACGTTATTAGTGACCTTTTCTTTCCTAATTGAAAGAGGCTGATGCACTAAATTGTGATAGAGACATATAATGGAATACCATGTACTAATCAAGCTTGATATTGCAGGATAATATTTAATGTTTTAGAAAGATGTTTAGAACACTGCTTAGCATAAAATTCTCTTTTTAAAAGTATGAGAGTACTTCAAAAAGCTCCATGCACATGACTAGCTTCGAAAATTTAATAGAAAATGTGTTACATGAAAAAAACTGTGCATGGCTTTTGAGGTTTTAAAATTCCATTTCCCATGAACTTAAATTTTTTTTTTTAATTATCTATTTGGAAGAGAAAGAGACAGAAAAAAGATACATATAGAGAAATATATAGAGAGAAACACTATCATCTGTTGGTTCATTTTCCAAACACCTGCAAAGGTGAGCATGCGCTAGGGCAGAAGCTGGGAGCCCAGTGGCTCAGAACGGGTCTTCCACATGGGGTGCTAGAAATTCAATCACTGGAATCATTACTATGACTTCCCAGGGTCTGCATTAGCAGAAAGCAAGAGTTAGGAGTCAGAACTGAGTATTCCTCTCAGGCACTCCAATATGGCACACTGGCATCTTCACTAAGTCAAACACCTACCCATCCATCAACCTTTCAAAGTGTTCTCGTGTGCTTTGTGGAAGGCAACCTCTGAGATGACTTCCATTCTGAGTACCTGTGCTTTTACATTTTTATTTTTTAATTTTCTCTAAGATCACATATTAAGAGGATGGCAAGCTGCCATGCTATAATCAGCTCTATGGAGAGACCCATGTGGCTACTACTGAAGCCGCTTGCTGAAGTGTGAGTCCGGAAGTATGCTCAGTGGCTGCAGGTAACTCCTGCATCTCAAACTCCTGTTTGAGATGACCAGAGCCTTGTGGGCAGCAAGATAAAATTTTGCTAGACACTGACCCAAACTGCTCAGTTTAGTTAGGCCTGGATTCCTGACCCGTAGAAATTGATAAGGCACTGATTTAATTGCTAAATTTTAGGGTAATTTGTTATTTAATAGCTGATAACTAACACACAGGTGCATGGTAAAAATAACTGAAAAAGGTAGACTTCAAATATGAATAATCCTTTCCCTTGTTTTGAAATGCAGACAAATGTCTTTCCTTTTTCATTTTCTGAAAAATGACCAAGAGAGACTGTAGGAGCTTCTGAAGAATAAAATGAAGCAACCAATTACAGTTTTAATAATCTCTAATGGTTCTTTTCAAAATGGGCATTTGGCCTGAAGGTTAAGAAGCCAGCTGAGATGCCTGTGTCTCATATTAGAGTACCTGGCTTTGATCCCCAGCGATGGCTCTTGACTCCAGCTTCCTGCTAATGCAGACCGTTGCAGACAGTGATGCTGGCTTTTGGGTTCTTGGGATCCCAGTCCCAGGTCCCGGCTTTGGCCCAGTTTAGTTCTGGCTGTTGCAGGTACCTGGGGAGTGACCTGGTCAATGTGAGTACTTTCTCTTCCTGCTCTCCTAAATACATAGTTTTCCTATAACATTCTTTTCAGGTAAATTAACAAAAACACACAACAAATAATAATAAAAAAAGAACTTGAAATGGAGTATCTGAATGGTGTGGCAGAGTGAGCTTTATCCAGCTTTATCTAGTGCACTGTGAGCAGCATTCGCCAACTGCAAGCAAGGGGGCCTTTCACAGGGTTCTTAGAAGGAAAACCAAACAGCAGTGAAGTCCTCGAGAGCTCATCATCAGCTCAGAGCTCTTGCTTACCCAGCTTCTGGTCAAACCGCCACGCTGCAACATAGGCATTGTGCCTCAGACTGCTCTGTGTGGCCAGGGGCACGGTGACATAGATGGGCCCATCCACCAGCACCGGCGTTCCATTACTGCTGAGCAGGTGGACACTGACAGCCGTGACCGGGGTCAGGTCGTACCTAGTGCTGTTTCCTAGAAGGAAGAGGTATTCTCCATCATATGCATACCAAGTACTGTGTGGGGCTGCAGATAGCCTTTGTAAAACAAGAACATGTCTCAGTCCCCATTTCCTGAGCACTGTACCTCCTCACAGCCAGAGGCTCCAGTGAGCATTCTATAAGCATAATCCTCACCACAATCTTCTAAACCAAGTAAAGCCTCCATAATACCCTGGAAGGAACAGGTTCGGAGAGGTGGAGATGGCAACTGGCCTATAGATATCCAAACCCCAGGTCTGTCAATTCTAATTACTGTGTGTGCTTTCAAAGAAGGACTTTTTCTATTATGTGAGATGAAGGGGAATGTGGAAATCACCAAGAATAACTTTCATATAAGTGAGCCCTATGCATGTGTTGATAACCTATAGCATATATTATATAATAAATTGTGTTAATAACAGATTACAACAACAAAACCAAATGGTTTAGAACTTAAAAAGAAAATAGTAGATCTCTTCATGTCTGTCTTAAAACTATTAACTTACTTGGAGTTGAAATATTTAAGAATGATTTTAGTTCCATTGTTGTTTTGATCTATTTAAAAGGAACTTAATATACCAATTATTGTCCATTAGAGGCCTTTTATCCAAGCCAATCCTTTAGTGACTCTCTACTTACAGATAAAGAATATTTATGGGTGTATTACTTACACACTTAAGTAATCCATTTTTACATTTTTCTCTAGTAAAATACAGTTTCACACAAATGTATCTGTCATAATTTTATATATTTGCTTGAATGGAAAGACAAAAACAGTGGTAAACACATTTTTAAGATGTATCAGAATGTAACATAGGATTTCTTGTTTAGTTGCTCATGCACTTACCTATCTAATCTGCCCAAATTTGCATTACACTACATGCCTGAGTTTGGATTACGTTTAGACACTGAAAGTAAATCTAGTGAACTTTTCGGTTTCAACAGTGAGTTCTAATGAAATCCTTCACAGAGTGATTTCTATACAGCTAATGACCTTTCACTATTCAAACCATCTCTGTGTACCAACGTAGGCATGCAAAGGCATGAGAATGGAGATTTCATCAAAAGGTCTAGGTTGGAATCTTAGATTCAAGTTCAGAAATCTTCTTGTCTGAGCATTTCTTTCCAAGGTAAAGAAAACAAAAATCCAGAATTTACCATGCTGCGGATTACAACTTGCTGTGGGCTGAGACATCGATGTGCCAACTCCTTAGAGGCAAGGCAGCGTCGCACCAGATCTATCCCAGGTTCTCTTAGACCCCTCAACCAGACACAACTTAAAACTACAGAAACATGAAGTAACTTCCCAAACTGCATGAACACCTTAGAGATAGTATTCTCCATCATGGAGTGCTGTTTTTCTTTCATGAGATCCTAAGCAGGCTGTCTGAACAGCAGCAATAGGGAGATAGACAGAAAAGCACTAGGAATGCCATCTCCCTTCTCTGCTCACATCTCCTTTCACTATTCCTTTCCTCTGATCCTGGACAGTCCTGGTCCAGGAAGATAAGGTGCCTCTGCCAGATCTGCCACTAACTACCTACACAGCCCTTGGCAAATCACTAATTTCTCTGGGGTATGTTTTTCTTACCTTCCTGAATCTATGGAAATAAAAATATTCAGCTGTAAACATTCATTATAGCATAGCAGAAATGAGCACATTAACTGCAAGCAATATGCCTTATGTCTGTGTCATTTCGTATTTCTTTAAAAGGTGGCTTAGGGAGGCAGGCATAGTGGTATAATAAGCTTAGTGTCTACCTGTGGTGCCAGCATCCCTGGTTCGAGTCCCAGCTGCTCTGCTTCTGATCCAGCTCCCTGCTAATGTGCCTGGCAAAGTAGAGGAAGATGGCTCAAGTCCTTGGATTCCTACCCATGTGTGAGACTCGGAAGAAGCTTCAGATTGGGGGCAGTTATATCTGCTTTCTGGTGGCCCCTTTCCTTCTGCAGTGTTCCTACTCTGTTTTCCCCAAAATTCTTCCCTTATCCTCATTTTTTTTTAAAAAGATGAATTTATTTGAAAGGCAGAGCTGTAAAGAGATTCGGAGACACAGAAAGAGATCTTCCATCTATTGTTTCATCCCTGTATGGCCACAATGGCCATAGCTGGGCCAGACCCAGCAATTCCCTCTAGTCCCTGTATGGGTGAAGGGGCCCAAGCACTTGGGCTGTCTCCAACTGCCTTCCCAAGCATATTGGCAGGGAACTGCATCAGAAGCACAGCAACCAGGGCTTGAACTGATACTGAAACATCATGAAGCACTGCAGGGCAAGGAAGAGGAAGTGAGTGCCACCAAGCTGGACGGCAGCATCTGGCTGATGGCCTGCAAGAGTCACACAGTTCAGTGGAGCCCAGGATCCCAGATCCCCCTGGCTGGGCAGCTGTGTGTGAAAACACCCCTGCGGCAGACCCTGGCGGGGGGGGGGGTGACTCAGGGAAAGGCTGAACCTTTCTAGGTCCATTCATCAGTGATTCGATGGGAAAGCAGCTTCATGTCACAATCTAAAGACAGTGTGCTCTCTCTCTCTTCTGAAATAATGCCGAGAGACTTTAAAATAAAACAAATGCTTCTGAAATCAATAGTCCTGGGCCTTCGTGTTCTTCTCTACCACCTTCCTCCTACCAGCCCTGTCTCTCAGGTTTCATAATTTATTCATGGAAATGGGGCACCAAAAAATTAATGAGCTCTGAGGAAGGAGGTAGTTTGAGTTTGGGTTTTATAACTTCTTTCCCTCAATCAGACCTCATATTCTCAGAAAAAATGCTTTTCTCCCAGGCCTGCACACTGAAAGTAATACTCAACATATTCCCCATGAAGACTGGTTAGGATGCTGGTATACATCTGCCTGCTGCCAAATGACTGACTTATTGATTGCATTGCCCTGACATATGAATTAAAGGAATGAAAAACATTTCTGAAAACAGGTGCTACAGGTGGGAAGACAGGCAGACAATAAATCACTGGCATTCCTTAATCTCTAGGCAGAAATATACTTGCCTGCTACAAAACACATCAGATATTTCAGGTTCAAAAACTTCCCCAGACTCATCAGTTTGTAAAAGGTCTAGAAAATAAAGTGCTCCTAAGAAATGTGATAATTTACTCACCTAAAAGGACTTAGCCTAGAACTGCCTCTGGTTTTCAAGTTTATGCTTTGAGTAGTCCAAAGTGTGTGTGTGTGTGTGTGTGTGTGTGTGTGTGTGTGTGTGTGTGTGTGTGTACTGAGGGGGAGGTGAAAAGAGAAGGCGGCAAACAACAAAATAATTCTGAACTGTGGAATCTCAGCACCTCCTTTTCCCCAGGACTAGGGCAGGTGTCCTGGAGAACTGCGCTTGCTGGGTATGGGCGGCAGCGACACATGCACAGGCTCTCCCTGATAAGGAATTATCACCTACTTTCTGGCTGGTAGCTTTGAGCTCCTCTGATCTTCCAGCTCTATGTGTCACGCCAGAAGGGTGACAGGGACTGACTCAGAGCTATCTGCCAGAAGAGGATTCCAAAACCACTGCAAAGCCCAGTGACTACTGTGTTAGAGGGCAGAGAGAACAAGCAGAGAGAGGGGAAGACTGGATGAACACAGCCGGCAGAGAGCATACGTTCCCCATTTCTTTAGCATGCCAACTGCTGGGGCAGCGGGTGGGGTGTTTGCTTGGGGTGCCCTCTGCACAGTGCCCTTTGCTTCCCAGCATCTCTATGACCCTATGGCCCCATGCTTGCACACACACATTCTAGGGGTGGAGAGCAGAGACACAAATCCCTGTATCTCATACAACTGTTTTAAATAATTTCTGCTAGAACAAGTGTTCTGAACTTAATCTGATCAGAGCCCAGAGAAAGAAGGTACTTATGGCAACAGGCAAAGCAGAATGGTTCAAGGAGATGGAGCCACTGAACTGCAGAGATGCAGGCTCAACTGCCTGGCTTCCCCAATTTTAAAGTGACGAACTTGCAGAAAGGGTTCTTAGGCCTACTCCAGCACTGCTCTCCCACCAAGTGCTAACACTCCCAGCTGTTGCTAAGACTCACATATAAAGACTGCAAACACAGAAGCCTCTCCTGAGCAGAGTGTCCCATTACCTGTTCCATTGCCGTCTAATCCTCGTAAGTAAGGAAAACTGTCCACCTCCGAGGGGGAGCTGGCGGCTGTGAGGAAAGCGGTCAGATCGCTGTAGCTGGTGTTCTCCGGCAATCTCAGGGCCCTCCTCTGGAAGTGAGCGCGAGGCTGCGGCCGAGCACCTGCGGAGATCAACCTCCAAGTTACCTCCCCAGGCAGCAGTTTCCGTTTATAGAAAATGCAGGGCGGGGAAGTGCTGTTCTAAGGTTTCCTTTGGCACGCCTCCCCCACCCTGCTCCTTCCCACAGCCCTGTCTGGATTCTTCACTCATGCAGGACACCCAGAAGTGACAATATGCTATTATGGGGAAGAGAAATAATAGCCCATTGTCACATTTGTTTTGACACAGGATGTGCCTTGGGTTCCTAACAGAAAGCGTGTTCCAAGGGCAGCTGGTGAGCAGGCTCCTTGCTGCTCGGCATCTCCCTGAGGATGAGGGTGACATTTTGGGAAAGTCCATGAAAATGAGACCAGCAGAGGATAATTAATCTCTTTACACAAACAATGCATGGCTTATTTTCTGATATGACCATAAACCCATCTTTAACTTGTCTGGTCTGACTCTGGACCACATTGAGGCAAAGTGAGGGAATGAATGGAAGTGTGGTGTTGAGAAGAACCCTAAGCAGGGGTCCACCAATCATGAGTCCCTGCTCCTTGGGGAAGCTGCCACCTGGCACCTAGTCTCTCCTGCACAGGCACTTCTTGTTTGTCACTCTGAACAGGCTTCTGCAGTGGCTCAAGACGAGACTCCTGCCTCAGACTCTGCTCCTTGGTGCAGGAGGATGGGGTTAGTCACAGGCTCTGTGCAGCTTATTAAATGATCTAGCCCAGGCTCGAGGTAGATCATGCTTCTCCTGTGCTCAGCTGAGGGCTCTGCCTTTCCAGCCCTGGGCTGTCCTGGCACCACCTTCTGGTCCTGCCCACAGCCCGTGGTCCCTTTTAATATTACATCTCAGAGCTTGTGTGTGGAGGGGGTTAAGCCTATCTTAGAAGTTCTAGAATAGAGGTGCCTCTAGATCTAAGACCTTTCTTATTCCTAAAACACACACTGGTCTCTGTCTCTGTATCTTTTTACATTCTTCATCTTCACATCTGTTCTTCTTTTCCTTCTGGTATAAAAATTCTGATATCTTATTTCTGCCACCATCTCGGTCTGTGTTGAGGTCCAACCCCTTGCACTCCTCACCAGTGTCTTGAGGCTGGCTGGCTGTTCCTGACCCCTGTCTGCACTTGGCCACATGTGCTGTTAGCTTCTTTTGTTCTTCTTGGCCTTCCCAAGATGGAAAGTTAAAATCCATCCTCTCTCTTTTCATCTCCCCTCAACTATACAGCAGTACTCTGTTATCTTTTTTTTTTTTTCAATGACAGGAAGAAAACACTTTCTCCACTGTTTTGTAGGCCAAACAATTGTTTCTGACGTTATCCAGTAAATATGCTCCTGTTTGTTAAGGGCCTGGGTTTCAAACAGCGGAAAAGCCAGGAACTTTGCTAACACAAAGAAAGAGCAGAACAGTACATCTAAGTGTGACAGGGCAAAGAGGGAACTTGCTCTCATGAGCGTCAGGACAGGAAATAGATTCCTGGCTGGGGACCCCAGGAAAGGATGAGGAGGGGTTCATATAGCTCTCCGGGACTGAGGAACAACTTCCTGTGAAACAGGAAGGCTGAAGTCTGTGTGCAGGGTCTCTGGTCAACAAAAAATAGCTTCCTGCTCAGCCTGGGCAAGCGAGATTCACAATGAAGCTGGGATAGGCGGCCCAGTGAGGCTGAATGTGGACTCGGAGAAACACACCCAAGGCCATTCTCCCCCAATTTCCCAGGGCTTTCAGGGTCTCACGGGTTCTCTACCTATGCTGCTTTATCCCATTCTCCAGCAGATCATGTATCTCATGCATGTTGGTGGGAGATGCCAACTCTCTTTCCTTTCCACCTGCTACCTCCCTTCACTGTTCCAAGCATAAGAAACTGGCCCCAGTCATATCATATTGAGGTCCATCTCTGTGTGGCTCGGGACATGCTGGGGTGCTATGTTGAGGACGGTTTGTAATTAGTCTAGCAAATGTGACAAATGCTGTGACTGGCATGGCAGGGGCAAACGGATCAAATATACCCCTATTATGCAGTACGAGCAAACCTGATAGCTAATAAAACAGGCAAAGAACATGGACTCAGAGAAATACACCCAAGAAATTTAAGTGTAAAAGCTTAAAAAACACACTGAGAAATTTAAGTGTTAAAGCTATTCTAAGTCATGGTGCAAACAAAACCTCAAATGAATGTGTAGAGTAGGTGGGTGAATGGTTGTGTTCGTAAGCTGATCTTTATGGATTAAAGCTGCTCCGATTTCCCACATGTTGGAATGGGATGTGATTGGGTGGGGATGGAAGGCTGTCTTCTTAGCTTGATTGTCCCCGCTCCCCCATTCTCTACAGCAACTGTTTCAAAAGTCCTCTGACTTTTGGCCCTGTCCTCATCCCCAGAGTGCTTAGGTGCAACTTTAGTGAAAACATTGGTGCCATCACTCCATTTCCACCCATCCCCCTGCCTCCCTTCATAAATAACCTGTTTCTCCCACGACATGAGTTTGGAAATGCTGACTGTTGATTGTATGATCTGCAAACCCGTGATCCTTTCTCAGCTTCCATCCTCATCCACCTCGGCACAATGGTCAACATTGTTCACCACCCTACCCATGACCCCTTCCTTCTTGGCATTCATGGCCTTATACTCTGCATGTCCCCAGCCAGGGCTTGCCTGTTTTTTCCTTTGCAAGAACAGTTCCCTCCTTAGGAATGAAACAGTTCCTACAGGCCCTCTGTCGCCTGCCTCTGCCATCTCCCTCCTCTCTCAGTAATTCTGCCTTGGACCTTGGCTGCTGTGGCCCTTTCTAGCCCTGACTCTTCTGCCAGTCCCACATCCAGATACATCCTTAAATTGTCTTCTGCCTTCTCTCTCACTTTAATACCCATGCTCCTCAGCACCCAGCATTGATCCAAGTAATCCTCATCACTTTACTTTTCCAATATCTTGCATATTCATTCAGGGACCAAGACTGGCCAATCTTCCTGCATCAGTGCTTCTTCCACTATTTTTTCTGCTCTTTCTGCCTCCATCCTATGTTCCTCTTTGCTTCAACTATTGCAGAAGTCTCCTATGTAGCCTCTGCTTCAGTCTATCTCATTTTTTTGTTTTGTTTTATCCATGCACACAATGCTTATTCTTAGATGCCACTCTGATTGAGTGTATGCTTTTCAGCCAAAGGGTCTCCACTACTTGCCAATTTTGCAATTATGACTAAAACAGTAAGAATAGATAAGTTCATGAGGCCAGCATTGTAGCATAGTGATGACAGCATCCCATATGGGCACTGGTTTGAGTCTGGCAGCTCCAAGTTCCTGCTAATGGTCTGGGAAAGGGGCAGAAGATAGTCCAAGTGCTTGGAGTCCTACATCCATGTGGTAGGCCTGAAAGATGATCCACGCTCATGTATTTAGTCACGGTCATTGCAGTCATTTGAGGAGTGAACCAGTGGATGGAAGATGCTTTTGCTCTCTGTCTCTTCTCTCTGTAACTGTCTCTGTCTACCAAATAAATAAATCCTTTTTAAAAATAATAGGTAAACCAATGCAGACTTAGACTGTTACTATATATCTCATGGAAGTGAAAGGTTTAGATCAGTGGATCATGAGTTACAAAGTTCAGGAGACTGTGGCAAAGTGGGTCAAGTTGCCGTTTGGAACACCTGTATTACTTATGAGACAACTCATTCAAGTTCTAACTACTCTGCTTCTGCTAACACATTATTAAGAAAGAGGAAGATGGTTCTAATGCTTGGATCACTGCCATTCAAGAAAGAGATTCTGATGAAATTCTTGCCTCCTAGCTTCGGCCTGGTCTAGACCTGTCCACTGCAACCACCTGGCGAGTGAACCAGCAAATAGATCTCTTTTTTTCTCTCTCACCTACAAGTTCATATACATAATTTAACATCAAGAACAATCTCTCTCTATGGGTGAGGAATCTAAAATCAGGAGCAGTTAAGTGACTTCCCAAAGTCATGCAGCTTGGAAGAAGTAGAAATGAATTTTTTATTCTAACTTCTTTATTCCTCTCTATTATACAATGCCTACCTCAGAATAAATCCTGTATTCAGTCAGCCATCACCTGGTCAAGCAGGTTCATACAACTCTGCATCTGTATTTATGCCCATGCTTGTTTCCATCTCCTTCAATGATCTCTATTTGTGTATCCTGCACGTCATCCAAAACACATGCCACATGCCACATGCCACATGCCACCTCCTCTACGATCTCATCTCCAACGTTAATGTCTATTTTGGCATCTTGTGTGGCACTGATCCTACTGGGCCTTGTATTCTTGTTTATTTACATTCTCATACATATCCCCTAATGAGAAGTGCAACCAGAAAAAAAAAAAAAGATGGACTGTACTGTCACTTAACACTAAATTTAGCTCTTTCCTCTATCACATGATAGTTGAGTGACTGGGCTTCAGGTTTCTCATCTTTAAGATTGAAAAGAATTGGAATCTACCATGTGGGGAGGGCACAGGGAGGGTTTGGGGGAATCCCAGAGCCTATAAAACTGTGTCACATAATGCAACGTAATTAACAAAAAAAAGATTGGAAAGAATCATGCTGATATCACGATATGGATGCTCTATAGTTAGTTCAGAATATATGTGTATATGTATATGTATGGTGCCCAATAGTGGCTCCTGGTTAATAACAGCTACAGCACAGCAGTGCTTTTCTATGTTTTCAGCCTGTTTTAACTGAAGTGCCTTAAAGGAAGACATACTACGAGATGCATCACACTATGTTGTCGATATGGATAGACTGAACAATATTTAGTGAACAGCAGTAAAATATTTAAGAATGAGATCAAGGTTTCTCAAATTCAGTACCATTAACATTATGGGCAGGTGATGCTGTGTTTGGAAGTTGTTTTGTGCCTATAGCACCCCTGACTTTTTCCCACTATATGCCAGCAGTGGCTCCCAAACTGTGACAACTAAATCATCTCTAGAGGTTGCTAAATGTTGCTAGCTAGGGGGTGCAGAATCACCCCATTAGAGAGCCACTGTGTTAGCTGAGTAC